GGTTCTGAAAAGCCACGCCAGCGACTTTGTCGCCCATTATTGCCGGGCCACCACTGTTCCCTGGATTTATGGCAGCATCAATTTGTATCGCCAAAAGCTGGGTTGCACTATGTGCGTATTGTGTTAGCTCAACCCTGGAGACAACCCCTTTTGTAACAGAAATATTATCCCCACCTGCGAACAAGAAACTAGTAAGGCCTTTTATTTACTGAAGTTAGCAAAAAGAACATTACTAGCAGTTACACACAAAACACAAGCATATAACTGAGATAGAGAATCCTAAAAAACAAGCATAAATACTCGTTGGGGCTAAGCAATATTCACTGGAATGGGCATGACAATGTAATCAACTAAATCCCATTTAAAAGTAAATTAAACAGCACATCAAACATAAAATGAGCAAAGAGCGAATTGATGTTTCAATGAGGGTGATAGAGATCAAAAAGTGGAAGGCTGTCGATGTTAGAGTATCTTAAGCTGATTTTGGGATCTTAATTGGTGCATAATATTAGGGATTTTTGACTATTTAGTTATCTCTTAAATGCCATTATTTTCTTGCCCCCATTTATTTCTTATTACAATTTTATATTAGCTATAGAATAGTATATAAGAGAGAGTGATCAATAGGATAGGTGCACAGGCTATTGAGCAAGTTTCTTGCTGGCCGGAGAACAGAGGTCCTACACTGGAGACGCTTCATATTCTTGGGAAAGTTTCATAATTCTTATTTCGTCCCTATTATATTATCATCAATAAAAATTACGTATCTCTCTTTATTAACCCTTTATTCCAAACAATTGGTTTGGCCTGCCCTACTAATGACAGATTTGGAATCCCGAGTAAGGTTATTTCTCAATGGGCTTCAAGAAACAATTCGTGTTAGGTTTCGACCGAATGATGCAATTGATGTACGGACTGCAATGCGAATTGCGCGTTCAATCACCCGCAAAATAGATTTTGCTCACCCTGAAAAATCTCTTGCTTCATCAATCAGAAGTGGAAGCAGATGGAGTACGGATTTTGGGCTGCGCTTCCCTTTCTACTATTTCGAATTTTCAAAGCCCACACACACCTTCACTAAAGGATCCTCAGCCCAACAATTTCCATGTCACTACTCAAGGAAATATTTCGACCATGTCTTCTCAAATTCCTGAAGCAAACATACCACTCCAGCGCGCTAAGGATCAGTGTTATCAAATGACGGCCATGGCGCTAAGGGTCTTTTATTTCGGTGTAAACAACCATATAGCCCAGTGCATGTTTGTCCCAACATATCCCTTCAAGCCTTAATTGTGGCAGAAAATGATAATGAGACCATCAATGGAGAACAAAATGAGTTCGACTTTGATGTAGGCTAGCGGAGTTCTGTCAGCAGCCCTTGAGGACGAGACTGTTTTTCAAGAGGCAATGATAGAAATGAAAGAATGAAAGGCTATCTATTTTAAAATATCTTATGCTAATTCTTGGGATCTTAATCGGTACTAATTTGTTATTTCTAAAATGCCATTATTTTCTTATCCCTTTTAGTTCGTGTTACCATTCTACATTAGCTATAGTTTAGTATATAAGAGAGAGTGATCAATATGAAGAGACTTATATTCTAACAATGTAGGTTATTGGGCAAGTTTCTTGCTGGGCAGGGAAAAGATCAGAGATCCTACTCGAGAAGTTTCATACTCCTTGTTTCGTGCCGTCCCTATTATATTTTCAACAATAAAATTATGTATCTCTCTTTCTCGATCCTTTACTCCTAAAAAAGGGGTTTTCTGCTTTCGAGTATTTCTTAACTTAAAGAAGGCATAAGTTCACAAATTTCTTAGTAAGTTTTTATTTATTTGTGTAAAGTCATGATTCCTCATTCAGAAGGTGTTTGTGTATATAAAAGCAATACCTAGGGATAACTTACAGCAGCATTACCTTGAGGATAACCAACAACAGCAACAGCTTCTTGGATAAAGGGAATGTCACCAAGCTCCAAAAAGTTCATTCCTTCCCAGAACTCTTCATTTTCGACAACCAGAATAGCCAAATCACATTCGTGCCCAACTGCCTGCACCTCTGCTTTATACTTGATGGGAGAACCATGCTTTCTTACAAGAACAAACGTATGATCAGCCACAACATGTGCATTTGTCAGGATTCTCCTACCCGAAATAACAAATCCTGCAGACATTTTGCAGTAATGCCAACCAATGAGTATCATATATGCATCAATTTAATTTTTTACCAGAACAAACTTCACTGAATATTGTTGATGTACTATGCATGTTATACATCTATGACATAAAATTTGGAAGTTACAAAAACTATAACAAAATGACAATTTACACGCTCAAGTTGAATAAATAGCCACATACTCTTACACTAACTGAATAACCAATGAGGGACCAACATAAGATCCATGGTGGGCTGTGGGTCCCCCTGAAATTTTTTCTAAAAACCATTATATACATATAAAAAAAAAATACTACAAAATATGGATAAAAATGCAAAAAAAAAAAAATTATAAATAATTAAAACTTTTTTTCTATGCTATTTTAATTTAAGTTAATTAAATTATTTATTTATAGAAGAATATACTAACAATCCTTACATTTTACATTTCTACATTTCCAAATAAGTTTTTGAAAATATTTATAATGATTTACTCTTTTGGCTTCTTAATTGTAAATCGATTTAGTGATGTATAAAACCGAGTATTTAGTTGGATTGTTAGATTTTTTAATGTTGATTTTTTACTTTATTTTTTTGTGCAAATCATATATTTTTTAATTTGTTTATTTTTTTTCTTGAAAAAACGATCATTTGATAATCTCTTATCAACAAAAATATTATGCAATGTGCTGTAAAAGTTCAATTCAAGTCAAATTTTCAACCAAAAAAAAATATTTTATATATAGATGTTGAACATAAATTATAAATACAGGAAATATCTTTTTTTTTTTTTTTGCTTATCTTTTTTTAAGTTTGAGGGTGATATGAATTCTAAGTTTTTAAAAACTTGATGTACACATATCGATATTTATATTTGTTAGTAAGCACATTGTGATATGTATCGAGAGACTTAAACTACAAGCTCGAAATCGAGTCGCCTAAGTGAAATTCTCATATCCGTCACTGTGAATATCAGTCGAGTTACTGGAAAAGAATTTTGTATTTTATCCACTAAAACCAGAGGTCAATATCAAATATTCCGTTTGAAAGGGTGGTAAGAAGATGAGCTACAGCCTGAGAAAAGTTCGTCAAATTTCAGCTTCCCATCAATTTGACCACAATACAGGGAGAAGATGACAAAAATAAATAATAAACAAACAAAGGAACTGAACTTAAAACTTTAAGAAAATACTTACCGGAGCCCATTGATTCACGCTGAATTTTATTCTGCCAAGGAAGGAAATAACTTGGACTGCTCGCCACTGAAAAAATCTTCACCACCGAATCCAACGCCAATTCAATCGCGCGGTACGCATCGTCCATTGCTGCATTTCTCATTGCCTCGTAAGCCTCGTCCGTTGCCTCGTCGGCATCAGCTTCATTGTTCTCGACACTGCTATTACTGCAGCTCGGAGAACCAACATCGCGAGGAGATGAAGAATTGGAGAATGAAGAAGTTGAGTAGAATCTAATTGAACGAGAAAGAGATTCTCGATCGATGATTCTAGCGCTGAAACAGGCATTGGCATTGGATGCTAATGGGGACTTAATAGGATATTTGAAGCGAGAATAGTGAGGAACTAGGGTTACGCCGGTGGTGCTGCAGCCTGGGTGATTGAATGAGTATATCAGCCTCCGGAGGGCTGCCCGGGGGACGGTGGTTTGCCGCGTTCCGAGCATCGTGCGCTAAGGCGGAGGCGGGAGGTCCTGAAATCTTCCGCTTCAGGGATTAGGTTGTGATAGATGGTCACTTAAATATTATTAACTAGTTACATCATTTTTACGCTAACTTTGTAAGTTTAGTTGTATATAGTTGCAATGTTATTTTTTCTGTAGTTGCAAGGTTAGTTGTTTGTTGGTGCTATGTTAGTTGTCTGTAGTTGCAAGGTTAGTTGGTTGTAGTTGCAGGGTTAGTTGTATCTAGTTGCAAGGTTAACTGTTTGCAGTTGCAAGTTTAGTTGAATGTAGTTGCAAGTTTAGTTATCTGCAGTTGCAATGTTAGTTGTCTGTAGTTGCAAGTTTAATTATTTGTTTTTTACTTTTTTACAAGGTTATTTGCGTTTTAGTTGCAAAGTTTTTGTGGTTGCAATGTTAGTTATCTGTAGTTGCAATGTTAGTTGTATCTAGTTGCAAAGTTAGTTATCAGTAGTTGCATGGTTAGATATATATTTTAATTTTTTTTATCGTTAAATAAATTTGTATTGCTCAAAACTGGAAGTCATACAACCGAGGCGGCTTTCAAGTCGAAGCGGGCAGCCACATGTCGGCTCCACACTCAAAAATACCAAAACCGAGGGCTTACCCACAAATCGGGAGCTTGCTCAAAGTAGAAAATCCAATAAAATCAACAAAAACGGCACATCACATTTTACACATCCAGACCAAGGCATCGACTTTCAAATTCGGCAAGCACTCTCGGGTAGGTGGCAAATATAGCACTCTCGGCAAGACCAAGGTTAGATATATTTAGTTGCAATGTTAGTTGTATCTAGTTGCAAGGTTAACAGTTTGCAGTTGCAAGTTTAGTTTATAGTTGCAAGTTCAGTTATCTGCAATTGCATTGTTAGTTGTCTGTAGTTACAAGTTTAGTTATCTGTTTTTGCAAGGTTATTTATGTTTTAGTTGCAAGCTTAGTTGTCTGTAATTGCAATGTTAGTTCTCTGTAGTTGCAATATTAGTTGTATCTAGTTGCAAATTTAGTTACCAGTAGTTGCAATGTTAGATATATTTAGTTGCAAAGGTTAGATATATTTAGTTGCAAGGTTAAATATGTTTAGTTGCAAGGTTAGATTTATTTAATTGCAATGTTAGATGTATATAGTTGCAAAGTACTGGATGCATATTTACTTTACACATAATGCATACTAGGGGTTAATGGTCAACGTCGGAGTCAACGCCGGAAGTCAACGTTCAATGACGAAAGTCAACGATTTTAGCCGGAAGTCAACGCAGGAGTCAACGGTCAACGTTCAATGGTCAAATTAATATTTAAATAACTAAAATAATTAAAATAAAAAATTGTCATTTAAATAAAGTTAAATCTTGGTCATACATTTTGATACCCTTTTAGTGGCTAGAATTGTGTCTCATATCCTCACTTTAAAAATATGAACTCATTGCAACCAATCCTTATATTGATATTTGTATAATGATTTTTTTTAAAATATACGATGAATATATGCAATAATAATAAATAAGTAACAAAGTGATAATTAATTCAAATAGTGCTCGTATTTGTACACTAAATATGCCAAAAAAAGATATTTTTCATTATATTTTTAAAATTATATATGTATATAACAAATATCATTTACAATTTCATACCTTTGATTCGTTTTTTATTTAACAAAACAAATTTTATTGTATTTAGATTATATTTATATTTATACATTGAGACACCAGTGTCTCACGTTTATTAATTTTTTCAGTACTTTAAATTTATATAATTAATAATTTAGAATTTACGTATAAATTTATTATTTTCTAACTTTATGAAATATAAAATCATTTTATTTGATTTATTTATGATATTCTTTTATATTTACTATTCTAAATATTCCATTTTTTACATAATCTATTTTAATTGAGAAAGTCATTTTATAATATTATTATTTCATAGTGTATTAATGAATTAGATTTCATTATTTTTATAAAATAATTTATATTGTTATAAGATGCTTTTTAATTGAGTTGATAATAAATTGATTTATTTATAACTATGGATGGAATTATTTTATTTTATATATGCAATACGGATGTCAACTAGAAGATCGTTAAAATGTGATTATTTTGGTAGATCATATATAAATGAAGTAAAAAAAAAAAATTATAAAGTTGTAAAAATAAAAAGAATACATATTTATAATATCTATACTTATATTAAAGGGGAACCTATTTACTAAATATAGTAGTTAGAAAAGTCAAACTTAATTAATGAATTTCTAATTTTATCGAGTATTTAATTAATGCATCTAATATTTTGGGTATGCAAATCAAATTAGCATTTAATTAGTTCCTAAAATATTAGGTATGCAATATTAATTTATGAATATGCATGTAGTTCC